GGGAGGCCTGGTGGAGGCCCCGGGGCGGGGGGCGCTGGGGTCTGCCCGCCTTGGTACCCGCGTCACAGGCCCCCCACCTTCCTGCTCCCCCTGCCCCAAGACGTTTCAGCGCAGAATGGAAACCCTGAACCTGCGCTGGGAGGAACTGGGCGTCAAGGAGGCCCAGCTGAAGGCCCACATTCAGAAGTTTGAGCAATTCATCCAGGTATCGGGGTGTGGGCCCTGCTGCAGCGGGGCCACGGGCACCCACACTCTGGGTCCCCTCCTCCTGCTCTTCCTCCCCACCTTTGCTGGCTCCTGACCCTGGATTAGATGTCTCCTCAGTGCTCAGCAATGCCTGGGGCTTCTCCCTTTATGTCCCCACTTACAGCTGTTTGTAATTTCTTGTTTGCCTGTCAGTCCCTGCTCCTTCTAGATTTCCACTTACCATTTCCTTGCCCATCCATACCTGGTACACACAGTTTATCCAATGAATGAATGGATGGACGTGCTATGGTCAGGGCTAGGCCCTTGGAGATACAAAGATGAATCAGGCAGAGTTTTAGTAGCCCCCGACTCACCCCACCACTCCCTCCTAGCACTGAGGGTCCCGGGAGGGGGTGGTTGAAGGACCAGGCACCAGAGTCCATCCTGAGGCAGCTCCTCTCAACTGGTCCTTTGAGGAGCGATTTCACCATTTTAAAATCCACATTTCTCCAGGAAGGAGGGACCTGGCCGAGCTCCAGGGAGCACTCACTGGCCTCTGCTACAGGGGAGTCCTGCTCTTTAGCACCTTCTTTCCGCCTTGTTCTGGGCCTACACCAAGTGGGAAAGGAAGCTGGTGGACCAGGCATATTCTTCAGAGGCCCAGCTCTTCTTACTGACCAGAGAAAAGCTAGTGGAGTGGTTGGGGCAGCAGGGAATTCAGGGGTGAGGGGTTTTCCAAATGCCCACCAGAGACCAGCAGCATCAGAACCCTGGAAAGCATGTTACAGATACAGAGCCCCAGACTCCTCTCTCCTTGCATTCAGCAGGCCTGCAGCCAGGCTCGGACAGCTACATGTTTAAGAAGTTGCTCGGGATTGTGATGCACAGTTGGACTTGAAAACCACTGGTTTAGGGCCCTTCAGTCCTCTCCTGGACTAAGGGACACAGTGCCAATCCTCTGTGTGCCTTCTCCACATGCCTCCAAATGCCACCAGCATGCAGCCCACCATGTGGAATCACAGGAGCCACACTAGTGCATTGGGAAGGAGGGATTCGCCCCCTAGTCTTGGGGGGAGGGCTTTGCAGAAGGAAGGAGAAGAGAGGGTTGGCCTGATTGCAGCAGCTGAGCCTCGTATCTTTTTCTGGGCATCGAATTGCCTGCATCATCTCCTCCTACCTGAGCCTAACGCCAGTCTCAGCTACTAGCTGCTTGCTCTCTGGCATGGCCTTGCCCCCAGGCCATCTGGAGCAGGCCTGTCTGTCTCCTATCTCATCTCCCTATGGCTTGAGCACTGTTGCCCCAGGTTTTGGAAGGAAGAGAGGGGCTACTGCCTCTCAACTCTACAGTTGGAGAAACGGAGGCACCAAGTATCAAAACCGGAGAAAATAAAGGCCTTCTTGCTCACCTGGATGGTCCCTGCCCATCCTTAGGGTGACCTGAGCTCAACAAACAGAGGCCCTGGGTGGGGGCTGCACCAGCCTGGGCCCCAAGGATGGCAGGGCGAGCTCTTGACAAGCACCACCTCCCTGACCCCAGGAGAATGACCAGAAGCGGATCCGAGCCCTGAAAAAAGCCAACAAGGAGAGAGACCTCAAGAGGCAGCGCATGCGTGAGCTGGCCAGGGCCAAGCAGGAGATGGCGGCCCTGCGGCTGCAGCACCAGCACCTGAGCAAGAAGCTGCAGGACTACTCCATCTTCAACAAGTACCTGGAGAAGGTGGTGGAGACCTCCGAGGTGAGGGGGCGGGGCCTTCCTCAGGGCCACCTCTTCCCCAGCCTGGGGCTATGGGGGCTGGGCTTGGGGACACTCTACAGGGATGGTCACCCTACTCTCAGGGCAGCTGAGAAAGGCCCCTGGTCAGGGCTGGGGACTGCGCAATGTATCTTGGTGTCTGCGAGTGACAGCTGTGTCAGTGTATCTGTATGGGTGTTATGTTTGGGGAACGAGGTTTCTTTTTGCAGCACCAATGATAAGCAGGGATAAGCTTTGCCTGCGTCAGGATGTGGCCTGTTTCCATCCCCGCTTCCCCTCCTCCCTGGCGTTTTTGTTTCCTTGAGAGTAAATAGGGAGAGAAAGGGAGAGAACTGGAAAGCACCCAACCTAATGCAGAGCTTGGGAGTTCTGTGTGTGCTGGGCCCCAGGTGAGGGGCCGCACATGGGTGACTTCATTCACTCCATTCATCAGCCCCGGGGGAATGCCATCCATTGTGTCACCATTATGGAGGAAGACATGGAAGCTCAGAGAGGTTAGGTAAACTGCTCAGGGACTCACAGCCTGTAAGTGGCCGAGCGCTTGCTTCTAACCACTCCTCTGTGGGCCCCACAATGCCACTGACGGCTGCTCTTCCTGAAGTCACCTTGTTGCCAGGGCTACGGGAACTTCTCCACCCTATTCCCACTCCTGCGTCCTGCGGTCCAGTTGACTCTCGACCAACACAAGTTTGAACTGTGCTGTCCACTTAAATGTGATTTTTTTCAAATAGACAATTTGAAAAAACTTGCAGGTGAACCATGAAGCCTGAAACAGATGACATGAACTTGCAGTATCGATAAATACAGTTGATTTATGATTTTCTTAGTAACATTTTCTTCTCTTTAGCTTACTTTATTGTAAGAATACAGTATATAATACCTATAACATACAAAATGTGTGTTAATCCGCTTTTTATGTTATCAGTAAGGCTTCCAGTCAACACTAGGCTATCAGTAGTTAAGTTTTGGGGGAGTCAAAGGTTATATGTGGATTTTCCACTGCATAGGGATCATCACTCCTAAACCCTGCATTGTTCAAGGGTCAACTGCATTGTTGACACTCATCCTTTAAACACACCTTTGCCCTTTCCTCTGGGACCATTGCCCCCTCCCCTACTTTCCTCCTACCCCGAGCCCTTCCTCCTCAGACCCCTCTGGGGCTCCTCTCCCTAGCTCCTTCCTTAAATGTCCCTCAGGTCTTTGTTCCAGACCCTCCACTCTTCTCCCTGATCAATTCCCTGGGCCTCCCTTGGATGCCACCCCTGTCAGTGGCTATCCACGCTGTCTTCCCCATGCCCCCATGTGACAGCAGCAGGTAGGACCCCTGACCAGGGCAGAGTGAGATATGAAGCATGCCCTCTCGGGTGGATCAATGTCTGTGGGGGCTGCAAGAGACAAAGGGTGCATGGATTTGTAAAGTCCTAGCAATTTCCATGTAGAACTGCTAACCTGATTTATGCATGCATGAGTCCCCAATCCGTGCTATTTCCTCCACTCTAAAAAATCCGATAAATTATTCATTTAACAATTGGGATTTTTTTGTGAGGGGAGTGAGGAAAGACTACCATATTAAAGCAGCAGGTAAATTATAAGATGTGACTCAAACTCAGAGCTGGTAAAATGTCTTAGAACTGAGGAGACTGGCCAGTATCTGGCTGTCCTTCTGAGCTTCAGGCCCCTACATCTAACTTATCGAGTCCATGACTCCACTCATCTGCTTCCTGCCATCCCCAGGCGAGCCTGCTGCTGGTGTGCCCGGTGCTGGTGAATGGCTTGCCCCCTCACCCATGGCCCCCCGCT